GGGCCAGACCAGAGCTGCCTCGGGAAATGGCTACTCTGCTGCGCTTCAGGATGGAGCTCCAGTGTTTCAGACGAGAACCTATGACCAACCCCCAGTATGGAGCTAGAGGACCCATGACCACCCCCCAGGATGAAAATGTCTCCCAATGACACTTGACACCTCTACTTCCAGCTTCAGGCCTCCTCAGACATTTTATACCTATTCAAATTCTGACCCTCCTCCTGCTTACGGGAACCTGAGGCAAATGATGTAAAAGTATCCAGTGGCCGAGGGGAAAGTTGGCTAGGTGTTCCTCAGAAGCCATTCAGGGCAAAGCACCTGAACTTCCTGCCTGCCCCACCTCTGTAAAGAAGCCTCCAGAGCCAGTTTTTTCCAGTCCAATAAGGAAATAGCAGTGACAACATTGAGAAATGCCTTAGAGAAATGAAACACAGGCCCTTTAGCCTAGTCTGTCTCGTTTCTCATAAATCCTGGAGGTGGGGGCTGAAATGGAAGGGGGGACCTATACTGACCTCAACCCCGGTAGATCTGGTGCCCTGCCCACAAATCCTGCCTCCCGCCTCCCTCCCCACCCCCGAAGAGGGCCAGGAGTGTCTGGAACACAAGGTTCTTGGCTCCTTCGACTGAGCCTTAGGTACACGTTTATTGAAAGAAGACTCCTCTCTCTTGGTGCATTGGAGCTAAAAGAAGTTGATGTTCAGATGTATGCCTGGGGCTTGGAGGCGTAATGGAGGCTGGATGTGAAGGAATCCTATCCAGCGGTGATCTTCAAAGTCTTGGATGACATTACAACTGCCAAGGGAATACATTTTAAGAGAAGGTCTGAGGTTTGAAGATGGAACCTAAGGAATGCTTAGGTGTGAGGAGTGAGAAGGAACTGGGGCTATTGGGGCGGGGGCGGGGGCGGGGGGATGAAATAAAAAGGATAGGAAAATGAGTGTAATGTCACAGAGGCCATGGAAAAAAGTTAAAGGAAGGTTGTATTGACACAGTCTGATGCTTCACAGAGGATGAGAGATGGGAATCTGGAAATGGATAACTGAGAGGTCACAAGGAGTTCCTGAGGTCAAAAGTCGAGGGATCGCAAGACAGAAGGTGATAACCCTGCCAGTAAAGTAGGGATAAGGTCATTTTCTAAAATGTAATTAAGTAAAGACAGGATTGGTGTGTGTGGGGGAGAG